GCGACCTGTTGATTGCAATTGGAATTCGGCGGATGGTGTGCGCCGTGCCTCACTGTGAGTCGCGATGTTAATTTGTCAGGGCGGAGAGAGCTAAAGGGTTGAGCTGTGTAACTGGACGCACCCTGTTCCTCTCTTTGCGGCCGTGTGTGTGTTGTGCGCGAGGCTCTTTGTTGCGGTGCGACGTGGATGGCGTTTCTGCTGCGTGTGTCCTCGTGCGTGCGCTTAGCGGTGAGGTTCTCATCCCCATGTCTTTGGCATTGTGTGTGGGCGAGTGGAAGGAGCGGGGGAAGTGTGGGGAGCTGAGCGTGGGTGGCTGCCAACCCCGCCCCGCACATTGGAGAATTTTACGCGCATGGTACTTCTTGACAGCCACTCGCAGCACCGGGCCGTGGATGGAGAGGATGTGAGGGTCTGCTCCAACCCAAAGGAGGTTGATGAGATGCAGTGCATGACGGCCAACCTGATCCGCGTGTGATTGCAGCGCATGGAGCACGTGCGCCAGTACGCGTTGGGCGTTGCGCTCATGATTGTGGAGGAGAGGCGGCACGACATTTTGGCGCTGTGTGTGTTCCGCGGCAGGGCATGCCGGCGATTGTGAGGGACGTGGAGGACACGGAGCTGTTTGACTGGGAAGAGGTGGCGGAATTTGCGGTGCAGCGGGAGCGCATGACGATCCCGAGGCCTGTGCTGGGAGGGGCACGTGTTGAAGTGGGCGTGGCGTGCCTGTGAGGGACTGAGGAGAGGGAATAACAGTAACAGTGACTGTGGGAGTGTGGGGAACGGTGCGAGGGCGAGGAGCGCTTCTCTTCTTTTGTTTTGTTTTGATTGTTGTTGTTCAACCGCGCCCACCTAATTGTTGTGGTGGTGCGTGACTCTCATCGCTGGATGGGACGGTGCGATAGCAGTTTTGCCTCTCCCTTGCTTTTGCTCTGCGTTGACGAGGGGTTAGTTTGTGCTGAAGGCTGCACGCAAGTGACAGGAGTGATGGCGGTGATGGCTGACCGTGTGCTGCTGGTGTGTGCCCTCTACGTGCTGTGGTGCGGTGCCGACGGGATTTACGCTGAAGGAGATTTGGAAGGTCCGCCTGCTGCACTTTCACCGGGTCTGGCGCCAAGTTCTCCCGGTGATGTTGGCTCATTGGACAACACTGGAAGTTTGGCCGAACATGGGGTTGGGGTTGGCAGAATTGAACCGTTGGAAAATGCAGTGAGTGGTGGTGACGTCTCTGAGGAATTGTTGAATTCTAACAATGATGATGAAGAGTCGGGTTGTGGGAGCGAAGACGGACATCGTAGGCAAGAAAACCGTGATGAGGTAGCCGAAGATGAAGTTCTAATTATACCTCAGACCGATCAATCAGAAATAACACCAAAGGGTCCACAAATACCGGCAAGGGAAGACAATGCAGCACAACTGCAACAGACACAGCCACCACAAGGAATGCATCTAACGTCAACAGCACACGAAGGACCTCAGGATGCTAGTGAATTGCGGACGCCCCTAAGCCAGAATTTATCACAGCAGAAAACTGGAACAGTCTCATCCAAATTTGCGATACATACACCAACGGACAATGAAGAAGGTAAAATTCCATCCCCTCCGCCCAAGAGTGGCAGTGATACGTCCAACAGTCCTGAGCAGCTTTTTGTTGCAAAACCAGAACGAGGAAATCAACGTGAGGGCGCCGATGATAGTCCAACAGACAGTAAGGAGGATAAAAATCCACCAGCAACCACAAGAAAAACTGATGCGAAGAATACACACAGCAGCGTCAGCAGCTCTGCCACAGACACGACCCCGAAGCCTGACGCTGTCACAGAAGACAATCCGCCCGCCACTGATTCGAGCCAAAAATCCAGCGGGGATGCCGAACAGCTCACAGCTATTCCCAATCCTAACGAAGCATCAGACAGCACAGAGGATGCGGCCTCTCAGAGTGCAGGAACAGCAACCAAAACAAATGATACAGCGAAGCCCGCCGAAAGCGAGAGTGACAGCAGCACCGCGGTCTCCCACACCACCTCCCCTCTTTCGCTTCTTCTTCTTGTTGCGTGTGCTGCTGCTGCTGCGGTGGTGGCCGCGTGAGAGTGAGGGAGAGAGAGCCGTGCACCGCCCACACACACACTCGTCCTTCTCTCTCTGTGTGTGTGTCCCCTTGCATGGACTCTCGCCCTCACCTCACCCCACGAAGCACACACAATAATGTGCCCATTGTATATATGCATGCACACCCATGCAGGCCCGTTGGTGCTCTCTTTTGCACGACACGCACCGCTGCCGTCCTGCCTGGCTGCATGGGCGGAGCACCGTAACTGTTTCTGTTTTGTTTTTATTGCATTGAGTGGGCGACCTCTCTCTCTCTCCCTCTGTGTGTGTGTTTTGCTTTACGGGAGTAATGAGAGTGTGTGTGCGCTGGTCGTCCCACGCTTCGGTTTTTATTGTTATTGTATTTTATTGTTTTACTTGTGTTGTGGCTGAGTGCACCCATTACCTTTTTTTGATTGGCAGTTTGCTTTGACTGCAGAAATCTAAATTGTTTTTTTGTATTATTATACTGCTTCTTTCATTTTGAGAGAGTGTCAGTCTCTTTTATCCTTGTGACGCCACCAGGTTTTTTTTTTCTTTAACATACGCCATGCGTCCGTTGTTCCGTATTACTCTTTGGCCTGCTGCGCTGCTGGTGCTGTTGTTGATGATGTCTGCGATGTGATCTGTCGGCGGGTGTCTTGCTGTCAGCCTGACGAATCCTTCATTCCTTGACGATTTGTTGCGTACCGACGGTGCGTGGGCGTCTCTGGTGATAGTGAGGGACGCGTGTCTCAGAGCGCAGGATGCGTCGCGGGTGTGCGGCGTCCTTTGTGAGAACCGATGTGTGCCCATCTGCACCCAGGCGTCATCAACGTACCGTGAGGAAAGCATAAGGCGCCGTGGCTTCTTTTGGTTTTGCACAAAGAATTTATTGGACGTTATTTTTGTTTTCAATCTTTTGCAGCTTTTGTGGGGGAAGGTGGGAGGTTGAGGGCATGAGGACTGAATTCATTTGAGTGGCTGCGTTCCGCTGACTTGCGGCCAGTCGTGGCACTCTTTTGGAGCTTGGCCGCTCGTCTCTTTTGTTTGCTTCCCACCGCAGCACGTCGATAACACTGATCCGAAGAACATTTGTTTGACCGCGTGTGGGCTGCTGCCGTGCGTGGTGCATGGACTATGTGATTGTGTGGGGAGGTGCGTTGGAGTGACGAATACTTCTGTTTGGCGTGTCGCGGTGTGTCGGAATGATGTTCGGATGACATGTGGAGGGTGTTGTTTGTGATTTGTGTGTCCTCCCTGGTGGTGCCGACATGTGTGCGGAGATTTTGGCATTGCTGGCTCACAGTTCCACGTCACTTTTCAGCATTCCTGGATGTGCTGAGGAATGACGGCTGACGACCAGCGTGTTGGTGCTGCTGGCGGGAATAAGTGCATCGGGAATAGGCCGTTTTCTCTTTCCCATGCTGGAGCCGATGGACTGGCACGCGGGCACCGGCTGCAGGCTGCCTGCCAGCACGTGTGAGCAGCGGATCCATGCAAACACCGACGCTCATCGCAAGAGCATGTGCGATCACAGTGGCCTTTTGTGGCGTGCTTTTGTGGGCGTCAGCCCATCGAAGAATGTGTGAAGCAAACGGCTAACGGAGCACGAGGAAAATAAGTGCATGCACTGTGCCGTGTTTCAGCGTCGATGGCAGAGCGGCAGGAAGCCCGTGCTGGCAACTGAGATGTTTGCGTCGCAAGGGATGTCGGTGTTGATTTTGGATCGTCGAGGGTGAAATGAATTTGCTGCTGCCCGTGTGTGTGGCCACTCCGGCGGAGGGCGAACAAAAAAGGGAGGGATGCAGGCGCTGCGTGTGTGTGTGTGCAGGTGCCATGCAACAACGTCACAACAAACATGCTGCGACTCGGTGACCCTCACATCGTTGCGGTCCTCACGCACAGCCCGGGCATGGCGCACACCGATGCACTTATTGGACGGAGTGAGGCATCTTTCGAGGCGCAGCAGGGAACAGGATGTGTTGACGCGGCCACGACGTGCATGGAGTGTCACGATGGCACAGTGAGCTGTGGCTGGTGGAATAATTGCTTCTCGGAGGCAACAGAAAGAAAGAGAGAGAGCTGCTGGCGTCGTTGCTGCCCTTTGTGGCCTCCCATGCCGATTGTTTTCTGTCCGCTGATCATGGGTGGCATGCCTCCACTAGTGACGTCGTCTGCAGGCATTTCACAGCACCAGTGAAACACGCATCACGTCGCATGCTTTGGCTGTGGATATGGTGTCGTGAATGCAGCCGGCATTATTTTGCCCGACTCCTTTTCACTGCCTTGCGACAAATAGATGCGTCGCTGCCCGAGTCATTCACTGCAGCTCCGTGCGTTGTACTGCCAGCACAAGACTCTCCTGTTGTCTGACGCCTGGCAGACAGTCAAGCACCACTGCGTTGGGACATGCAAGGATGTGGACTGCCGCTCACGGTGTTGGGCACCGCTGTTTGGATGCGGCGGCCACACGAGCGGATGTATTGTGGCACAATGAAATGCGTGAAATACGCGGAATCACAGCGGCCGGAATAATATCAGCGGTGTGGCACCACGGAATGTGTGAGAGGGTGATGCATGATGAATCACAGTGGGCGACATGCGAGGGAAGTGCACCGCGACGGAGCGTCGCCCCGCCCTCAGCCTGCAGGGGAATGTACACCCACAAAATATATGGTCGAGACACCACCAAACACACATGCCCTTCCATGCACCAATAAATAGGAGCGAAGGTGCGTTCTGGTGCGTGGGAGTCCACTCACATATTTTCATTTCCACCGCAATCAACGGTGAGGAGCCAGGTGCCACAGCAACGAAAACGAACATCTATTGC